CAAAACCCCTACCGCCCACCATGAAAGCTGGAACGCCCACAAGTGGGCGGTAGGGACCAGGTTGACTACCACTGCTATAAACTAAGCAATTTTGGTTTCAGTTGTGGACATAAGTCAAGGACTACCTGTACTCAATTGTTATCAGGAATCTTGGATGAACTAGGATATAGCCTGCTATTCTCATTCTAATTGTGCCATCTTCCAAGTATTGACTGAGCCGAAATGGCGCAGTGGTTAGAATGCAGTACTGTAGGCTACTTCTGCTGATCACCAGCTGCCAGCAATTTGGCAGATCCAACCTCACCAGGCTCAAGGTTGACTCAGCCTTCCATCCTTCCAAGGTGGGTAAAATGAGGACCCAGAACGTTGACTTCTGCAACCAGGGCATGGCACCAGCAGTCTCTTTATACTCAGGCAAGGATCCCAATGAGCAACAGCTGCTCGCAATCTTCTCCTGTAGTTCCTCCTTTGTCCTTTATGCTGAGTAGCCCTCCGCCTGCGTGCATCCTGATACAACTCCCAAATGCTTTCAGGAACATTCCCTTTGACCCAATGCTCTGCTGCCACCTGATGGCCAACCAGTCTCTCCTCACCCTGCTCAGCGTCGACACCCTGTCCAGGGTCTTCCACCTCCTCCAAGGCCGACTCATAAGACCCCTTGCTATCGGAGTCTGGCGACAACTCTAACAGCTCCTGCCGGGCCACAACAGGATTGGATTGCCATTATCTTGCCCAGGGAATCAAATTTAGACTGTCAAATTGCACCCTAAAGTTGCCTAGTAGATTGGTCTGAAAATGAGACCGGTGAGTTGTATACTCAACTTAAGTTTAGGAGGACACCAAAAAGCATAGGATGAAAGCCAGATGGAACGCTTTATGTGCCATTTCCTTCCACAGAAAAGGATTCCTCGGTCTTTTTGGATCACTGGACACATTTATTTATTTATTTTATTCAACTTACATGCCACCCATTTCACCAAGGCAATTCTAGGTGGCTTACAAACAATCAATAAAACACCAATATCAAACAATAAATAGTTACATTAAAATTGTCAGACAAGGGCCAAAGATACACATGGGGAGAAGGCAGGGGATCTTTGTGTGTGTGTGTGTGTGTTTATAATATAAAA